TTTGAGCAAAGTTTGTCTTCCACCAGTACAGATCGTTCAGAATGCCAGTTGTATATTGTCTGCATCTAATTATAAAGGTATTTTTGGTCTGATAATCAGGATGTACACCATTCACATGCTAGTTGTAGTTAGCTTTACAGTGATGGCAAAACTCCACTGTGGTCGCTGAAAGTCGTAAAAAGCACTTACAGTGAATAATGCTTGGAATTCATAAGGTAAGTGAGGAATGACGTTGGGCCACCGCAAACTATTTAAAGTGAACTAGTTCTGTTTTCCATGTTTTCATAACAGTAGAAATAAGGTACAGCGCCTTCCAAGTTGCAGGTTTGTGTTTTGCGCATGTGGTTCTCAAGCTGCTTAACCAATCAGAGAGCAGAATGAGCTCCTCACTTAAAGGTTGCCAGATCTAAACCACTAACCACTTAAACCAGAGGCAACAGGCGTAATTGCATTGAGGTTGTTTGAGGTTGTCTGCCAAGCATTTTGAGTAAATCTACCTCTCCACAAGAGATAGACAGATTGGTTAGCTTGGGGTTTTTAGAGTATCAGCTATCGGCCTTAAATCTCCAACATAGGCCAATATCGTGGTTTGGTCAATATGCTGATAAAAATACACCTAAAGCTTTATATTAATATTTAAATACAAAAAATGCAGCTGAACAAAACCTGATTATGGTATTTTTCGGACTACAGGGTCCCTCCAGAGTATAAGTCACCCTAGCCAAAAAAAATGAAGAAAAAAATGTATACAAGGGCATTTTGGGGGGAAATTGATTTTATAAAATCAGAGACCAGGAACCAACATTTCTTCTTGAAAGGCTGGCAACGTCACATATGAACAGTTATTCAGATAACTACAGCATAAACAGCGTAACATAACAAGTTTCCCAAACTCTCAATCTCACCCCAAATCACTAAATCCATTGAATTCTTCATCCTCTATGTCACTTCTGAGCAACTCCATGACCTCTGAAGGTAAACGGAGTGCTGCTTCCTCTTCTGCGTAGCTGTTGTCAGACTCGGCATCAGTTTCAGTTAGAATTATTCCGGCCTTTCTGAATCCCGACAGGATGGTTTCGGTTGTCACTGAAGTCAAGGCTTTGTCGATCCGTTCAGTGAATTCCAGGAAAGTTGCATGGCGCACCCTCCCAGTGTCACAAGTTTCTTGCTCACTCCAAACTTTCTTTCTGCTGCTTGATTACCGTTTTTCAGCTGCATATTTCACTAGTTGCAGCTTGTAATCTGCAAAATATGATTTTCTTTTGGGGGGCATTTGTGTTCAATCTTCTCAGTTGTTTTTATAAGTTTCTTCAAATTTAAAAATTTCTGTGATGCAGAAGTAATGGTACGATCGACTGACATGATACCAGACAGGACAGCGGCTCTTTCTACAGGAGACATGCGCAGTAGTAACAGATACTGGCACACAAGCCTAGAGCGCTCTCTGTCAGTCTGACATACTGGAATATAAATCACAGAACCACCCAAACTATGAAAAAAAGTGTGATTTATAATCTGAATATGGTACACAGCTCTCTTATATAGCTTTGTGCTAAAAAAAAAGTGGGCCTGAAAGGGGGTTTGTGGTAAATTTGTATTACATAATTTAGGAAAAATTATTAATATCAGACCAGTATCAGAAGAGATTATCTGCCATCGGTTGCTCTGTATTCTAAACAACCGGCACAGACATCGGCCATGAAAAAAAACATAAAAGTCTATCTCTACTCCCCACACCACTACTATCTACACCCTCTCCTCTCCATCAAATAATGATAGAAAAGTGGCCAGAGTAAAATCCCTCCTAACCTCCTCTTCTCCCCTCTTTACTCTGCTACCATCACTCTCCCTCTGCTTCCTCCCTGGGCTCCTTTATAGCTGCTTGTTTAGACTGGCTTTAGACAAATGGGACTTTTGGGTGAGCGTCCCAGGAGAGAAGGGGTCAAGGAGGGTGTGAGTGGTGCGGGACAGGGTGCGGAGTGGTAACTTGAACTGCCAGTTTCGGCTCAGGTCCGAGAGGAAAAACAAAAAAGATGGCGACGTGTCATATGAAAGGCTGTCACTATGAATGGTGTGAAGAGAGAAGGAGAGGCTGGGAGAATCGGAAAAATGTTGGAGAGTTGCCAGATAGGGGGGAAAAAATCCAGGTTGAGGGATAAGGTGGGGTCTGGATAAACAAAAGGGTTATAATAGGCGTTCAGTGACATGTTTGTGGATAATTAAATAAATGATTTCACTTGTGGAAAATATTTAGATGTTACAGGCAGCACTAAGTATATGTGTTACTGTATTTGTTTGACAGCATGTGTTGGATAAAAAGTAAAGGAGACCAATAGTGACTTTGGTAGTGCAACTCTTTTTCATTAAGCGCTCAAAGCAACCTAAACATTGTCAAAGGAAATTAATCCATAGAAAAATGAGAAAGTACTTCAATATGTGCCATGTTGGAGTCCATACTGGCTTTGATCTGAATCTGAACTTGCATAAAAAATAAAAAAAAAACGTATTCGGCTCCAAGATGCGCGTCATTTGATTCGAAATCGCGAAGATTGCAATTTCACGAACATAATTTCGCCGGCAAACAGCTAAATATTTTGTCCTACTATGTATACAGCCTGATTACTGTAGTTCTGAGCTCTACAAACATGCTCTGATACTACGCATGGGTAACGTTTGTGGTTAGAGGCCCACCACAGACTTGTTTATATGGTGATGTTGTTGTGGCTTGAGATGTTAGGGTAATAAATAAAGTTACTGTTAGAGGAATAGTCAACTCTAATTGGGTTGACAGTTGATCAGTGGTTTGAACAGCGGTGCCGCAGCCTGAAGGTCTGAGGATTGATTCTCGCTTGGACCAAGTTCTGTTGCTGTCCTTGGGCAAAACATGTCACCCAAAGAGTATTGCCGAGTATGAAAGTTGTGAGTGAGCGGTGGCGTTCAGAGAGGTCGATGGTGCGGATTAGCGTCTTGCTTCTGTCATCTGCCCTAGTATCTACACCAATATTTACCCCAGAATTTGCCGCAGTATCAGCCCCAGTATCAGCCCCAGTATCAGCCCCAGTATCAGCCCCAGTATCAGCCCCAGTATCAACCCTGATATCTACCCCAGTATCTGCTTCAGCATCTGCCTCGGAATCTGCCCCGGTATTTTCCCCAATATCTACCCCGGTATCTAGCCTGGTATCTAGCCCAGTATCTGCCCCAGTATCTGCCCCAGTATCTGCCCCAGTATCTGCCCCAGTATTTGCCCCAGTATTTGCACCAGTATTTACCCCAATATCTACCTCAGTATCTACTCCAGTATCTGCCCCAAAATCTGCCCCAGTATCTGTACCAGTATCTAGCCCAGTATCTACCCCGGTATCTACCCCAATATCTGCTCCAATATCTGCCCCAATATCTGCCCCAATATCTGCCCCAATATCTATCTCAGTATCTACCCCAATATCTACCTCAGTATCTACCCCAATATCTAGCCCAGTAGCTGCCCCAGTATTTGCACCAGTATTTACCCCAATATCTACCTTAGTATCTACTCTAGTATCTGCCCCAAAATCTGCTCCAGTATCTGTACCAGTATCTAGCCCGGTATGTACCCCAGTATCTTCTCCAATATCTGCCCCAATATTTGCCTCACTATCTACCCCAATATCTAACCCAGTATCTACCCTAGTATGTACCCCGGTATCTGCCCCGGTATCTGCCCCGGTATATTCTGCAGAATCAACCCCAATATCTACTCCAATATCTGCCCTAGTATCTATCCTGTTATCTGCCCCAGTACCTACCCCAGTACCTACCCCAGTATCTGCCCCAGTATCTGTTACATAAAGTGGATTAAAAGTCCACTGTAGTTTGGTTGTTGTGTCAATAATCGTGCGTGTTCATAAAAAGTTTTGCCTAAAAAATAGTCACAAAAAAGTATATCAAAACATCCAAAATATTAACTTCAGGTGAAGATAAAAGATGTGAAAAAAAATGATTCAAGTTTTGATTAAGCAGTTGCACCTGAGTGAATTTTCAGCCCAAAACTTCAAAGTCCAACTGAGTCTGTTTGATCTCAAAGCAGAAAAAATACTTTCCAAACTCCAAATGTTGAAAAAGAGAGGTGAAGACAGGGACAGACTTAGAACTAAAATCTTTTTTGACATAAAATGCTCATTATTTCTTTCTTCTGGTTTCAACATACCGCCAGATGAAACAGTTATTAATTAAAGCCTCTGTTTCCATGGTAACTTCAGCTCTTTTTGGACTTGCAATTTGAACATGCAGATTCTCCTCGGGCAAAACTGGACTTTACATCAAAACCAAAATTGAATCAGATTTTAATTGAATTGTAACTGGATTTTAATAGAATTTTAATCGGATTCAGATTTTCATTGAAATTTCCATCATTCACAAAGGGATGTTCCATTTTCTTAAACTTGAAAAGATCAGAATGACACTTCATGGCTCTTCTGATGGGTATACAAAAATATGGCATCCATTGTTCCAAAAAGTACAACAATGATCCTTTCTTTCCTCACTTTTATCTAGTTATTTACTTAATTGACCATCTAGTACTTTATTTTGTTTCATGGGCTTTCACTTCCATTATCATCTTTCATCTTTTATCTTTTATCACAGATTTTCATTTTGTCAAGGAGATTGTGCAGAATGTCTTTTTAATTTGATTTACTATTTATGATATACAGAAATTGCATAACTTTTACTTTACAAGTCAAATAAAACATTGAAATTTAATTGAAATTTGAATCAGTTTTTATTAAATTTTTATCGAAATTCAGCGATTCATTGATTGAGTCTTTCTAATTCTGATAGTATGCATGTGGTTTGAAGCCAAGTTAAGACTTTGGAGGAGCTTTTTTTTTCTGTAAAATGGCAATAATTAAAAAGTGTGAACTGTTTATGTTGAGGAAAATGTGTTTTCAAGACAAAATCAAATCAAAAACTGTAATCGATCAACAAAACAGCATAATAGCATTTTAATATTCCCAAACCTGAGTTTAGATCGCGTCCAGGGTTGAAGGCTCGGCTGTTGACATTTGGGGACAGCCTGTCACAGCAGATGGTCTTGGACACATTCGTATTGAAGTTTCCATCAAATCTAAACACACAAAAACATGAACAAAGTGAGGATTTATAGACCACCACAGCGTCCAAATCCTGTGTAAATGAACCATAAACTTCTAAACAAAAACATGCACCCCTCTGACCTTGCTCTAATGAAGAGGTTGTGTAGAATTGCATGAGACATCTGTTGAAACTAAGCTCTGACTTGAGTTTGATTGGACCCAACTCAGCATCATCCTCATCTGTTTTGCAGGCCTCGTATAAAACAGGAGTTATAAGGTTGTGTAGTGAGTAATATTTTCCATGGAAACTGCTAAAATCCTGCTTTTTTCTTAACAAAGCCTATACACAGTTCCGTGAATACATCTGACAATGATTGGGCAAAAGAAAACTTTGAGCATAACTCCATGAATTAGATCACAAGTAACAAGTTCTGACAGTTTCATGTGAAAACAGGGGAAAAAAATACTGTTATTTATTAAAATAGAATGCCACATGACCAACTTTAAAATTAGTTTACAAGGAAGAGGTAGGTTTTATTGGCACAACAAGGAAATTCACTTTCACTGTACCAAGCTTCAATGGTCTAGTAAGTATTTTTAGTGACAGTCCAAAGCGCATATAAAAGGAAGCTCTTGATAAAACCAAAGTAAAATGTGTATGTGGTAAACCTGTACAGAAAATCAAAAAAGTAGTTTCAGTTGCATGTGTATTAACTGTATACACTACATACAAATAACACTTAATGTTTTTTTAGGAAATCAAGCACATGTGCAGTGCACTAAACCACCACATCACCAGGCAGTACCAAGACACACTCACTGTTCCTTTTGAGGGGGCTTTATTGACTAGCTGGGATTGCAGTCTATTAAAATGCCTTGCTTTTTAAGACCTGCTGTAACAGACTTTTACCATGCACCTTTTGATTTGATTTTAGCTTGAAAGATTCTATTGTCCACTGGGACATTGCATTTGGACAGAGGTGTCCAAACACATGGACTGGTGGTCAATACACTAAGTCAATTAAATGGGTATATTTATAATGGAATATTAATTTTAGGTTTGTATAACAGTGATGTTATTGAGGTTTTGATGGTAGAATGACTTAAATCTGCAGTAATCATGATCATGTGGGTTAATTCAGGCCTGAGGCCATAGTTTGTCCAGCCTTGCTCTAGACAATGCACATCATGTGAGTTTCTTAATCCTGTTTCTATTATTACCACATTCAACTTTGGCACATGTCATGTAGAGCCCATTCTTAAAGTGCCCCTCCAGTGCCCTGTGCTGATACAATAATAGCCTGTAAAGCTCCTCACTTCTAGCAGTGATAAAGAGGTGGCAGAGACCAGCCTGCATGCCCATCACCACATCTTTAAACAGAGGCTGTTTTTTTTTTTTTTTTAAACATATGTGTTCACACACGGCCGACTGAATTTTATTTTTCATATTAGAAAATCTGCGGTTACCATTGGACATAGCATTAAAGATACACTGTGTAACTTTTTTAGTGGAATATCTGCCACTTGATTGTCTCCATAGAGATGTTATTGTTTTGCCTGGAATGTTCCATATTCTTATTCTCTGTGGAGGCAAGATGGTGGTACCGCTCCAAGTTCCAGGTCATTCTGTGGAGAGGCATCCCATATTACATTAACAATGCATGTGGAACAAGGGATTTTTGAGCAACAACAATACATATAATTTTAGTTCATTAATCAATCAATAGAGAGATAATATAAGTTTAATGCCATACTGTGGAACATTCCAGACAGTAACATCTTCATGAGGACAAGTATGTGTACCCTTCAATAGAAAAGTTACACACTGTACCTTTAATTTCAGACATGACTTTAATAGGGGCGAGCTATGCCAAGGCTGTTCTGCACTGCACCAAGACTCCGCACTTTGATCCTTCACGTGCGCACACACACAGTCACGTGCACGCTCGTAAACAGGACCCTCTTCTGGCTCCAGCTCCGTGTTTGAGTGACAGGTGCTCTGATCTGCAGCCCCTATTTGAACTGGGCCCATCCATAAAGTCCCACAAGACCACAGTCATTACTATTCTTCTGCCGCATTTGCATAGAGGGCCAGCTCGTGGAAAAAAAATGTGAGCTAGATAAAAAATACATTTGCAGGCGCTTTGAATACTACATCAAAAAGAGGGAGGGAGAGACAGAGAGAAAGAGAGAAATAGTGAGATGGAGAGAAGGGGGGGGGAGAGAAAAAGGAGAGAATAGGTCTACGATTATGATTAGACATTAACAAAGGCATAGAAATGTGGTTTTGTAGAAGACTACGAAATTCCAGCAAGTGAAAAAATACAAGAAATGACCCAAATATAGAGCGTACTCATTAAGAAAAATATTTAAAGTCTTAAAATAAATCTTCCATGCATATTAATAATGCATATAATGAGGATTACAGTTAATTAACATGCAGCCCAAATGTGGTGTGTGTGCAAAGCTGGAGCACTAATTGGGTACTGCTAATGTCCTTAAGAAATGTTCAATTATTTATACGTGTTCCCTTGAATTTTCTGAGGTAAATCCAACTGTATTTTTATTTATTTTGATCTGAGGCTGCAAAAAAAAATAAAAGGTAACCAAGATTTTTTTCCTCACACTGGTCCAACATAACTTTTTAAACAATTCCATGTGGTCTAATTAAAAACGAATTCAAATGGCTTTCAATATTTATTACCTGAACATAAAGAATTATAATTTAACATGTCTCCAATGTTTCTCCAAAATCTGGACCACATCCTTTCTCTAGATTAAACAGGTTTATATGATGATGATTGAACATTCAAAATAAGTGAATCACCATTAAAATGTTATTATTGCACAGCCCTATTTCAATCTGAGCGTCAAGTATTTATAAAAAGATGGATCAAACTAGTTCATCGGCTTCTATGAATACAAAAGTGCTGGAGTGTTATGAGACAACTACTGTATCCAAACTGTTGAGCACAGTACAGTCTGCAGTAGATCCTTATGTGATCATATGATAACCTACAGGCTCAAAGAACAAATATCCCAGAAAACAATATAATAAAACTGATGTGCCTGTGTCTGTGTGAATATTTGAAATGGAAGCTTACTGTGTATAAAGTGTTGCTACATGGATATATATCGAAGAAGCACATTTAGACATGTTTATGCATGGTATTTTTATTATTATTATTTTTGGTGATTTTTGGATGATATTTAGGGTGTATTACTGGTAGTAGTAGTAGTAGTAGTAGCAGCAGGAGCAGTAGTAGTAGTAGTAGTGACAGTAGTAGTAGTAGTGGTAGTAGGAGTAGTAGCAGTAGGAGTAGTAGCAGTAGTAGTAGTAGTAGCAATAGTAGTAGTAGCAGTAGCAGTAGTAGTAGTGGTTGCAGCAGTAGTGCAGTAGCAGAAGTAGTAGTAGTAGTAGTAGTAGTAGTAGTAGTAGGAGCAGTAGCAGTAGAAGCAGTAGTAGCAGTTATGGTAGTAGTAGTAGTAGCAGTAGAAGCAGTAGTAGCAGTAATGGTAGTGGTAGTAGTGGTAGTAGTGGTGGTAGTAGTAGTAGTAGTAGTAGTAGTAGCAGTAGCAGTAGCAGTAGCAGTAGCAGTAGTAGCAGTAGTAGCAGTAGCAGTAGCAGTAGTAGCAGTAGTAGCAGTAGTAGCAGTAGTAGCAGCAGTAGCAGCAGTAGCAATGGTAGAAGTAGTAGTAGTGGCAGTAGTAGCAGTAGTAGCAGTAGTGGCAGTAGTAGTAGTAGTAGCAGTAAAAGCAGTAAAGGTAGTAAAGGCAGTAGAGGTAGTAGAGGCAGTAGTGGCAATAGTAGCAGTAATAGCAGTAATAGCAGTAATAGCAGTAATAGCAGTAGCAGCAGTAGTAGTAGTGGCAGTACTAATTGTAGCAGCAGCAGTAGTAGTAGAAGTACTATTTGCAGGAGGATGTTGGCCTACTAGTTGAAGATCTCATACTTCCTGTTGTGATGTGGACCTGGACCTCATTTAGTCCTGTTAGGGTTTGTAGTTCTGCTCAAGTCTTGGTCTAGTCCAGGTTAAGATCTGTTTAGTCTAAATTTTCATGTAGTGTGTATATAAGAATCAGCAAAACCATTCATATTTTGGATCATCTTTGAAATAAATGATTTGTATTTTAGTACAAGTAAGAAATTCAGTCTCTTCTCCAGTATCTAAATTGGGGATCTGCACTTAGAATAAATTGAAGTAGCTCGATCTGAACATCTCTACAAAATCGCTAACAATTTAACACTAACTGAGCCACTTTTTTGCAGACTTTGCTCACATATTAAAAGCTAATCTGGAAAATGACCACTTGTGTTTATCCTATTTCTGAATGAGGTCTTGTTACGGCTGCCAAGTTGTTACTATGAGCCAGGTATAACAAATGAGATTAAGATTAAACCACAAATCCAAATGATTAAACTCTTACTCAGTTTCATACCCAAACAAGGAAGAGTGTTTTAGATGGATAATATTCACTGAGGGGGCAAGTTAAATATAACATTGACGCAGCACTTTGGCCGGGAATTGGACTAGATCACTTTAAACAAAAACAATCTTTTGAAATGAATATCTCCGTAACTGTGAGGCCATAGCCAGACTTCAATTAGCCCATGTAAAACCAGACTATTACGCTTGTACGCACACTTGTCACTTTTACAGCTGCAGATACGGAGACGCTGTTGAAATAGGGCACCTGGAGTTGAAAATCCAGACACGCTCGCACTGGAGTAGGACTAGACGCATACACTGCAAAAAGCCAAGTAAGTTCAAATGACTTAATGTGCACTGTGAAACTTCTCAGATGGAGGGTCTGTCATCAGCTTGGAGATGTTATTACTTTGTCTTGGATGTTACAGTATGAGTTTAAACAAATATATCTTGTATTTATTCAATTACAGGCGGTTTTATTTCTCAAAACTACACTAAAATTATGTATTATTACTGTGATTCAGCCTCGTGATGTGGCGTGCTCGTCTCCATGAAGATAAAAAACATTAACATCTACATGGAATCAAGAAGATAGCGGGCGG